TACAGACAATATTGAGAGATAAATAGTAGCAGTTCTCACTATGTGTTAAATATCTTTGCCTTCAATACATTAAATTAGAAAGCTGACAAAGTCATATTGCTTGTTAACATCTAAATGTAACCTTTTGCATGGAAAAAAACCTCAACTTCACTGATGTGTAGGTGATCTAGTATTTAGTATTGTTTAATGGAATGTATATCAGTGTATTAAAGTCAATACTTCATTTATTTAAACCAATATCTTTCTTGATTCTTTGTACAGTATGAAAAAAGAGTCTTTGTACCTGAGCTGAAGTTCACTGCTGTGAGGAGTCCAGTTCTGTCTCTCACTCTCTGGTCCAGCCTGTCTGAATCACCTGGACACCTTAAACAAACAGATATATATATATGTAAAGAACCATGTGTACAAACAATATAACTGATTCTCTTCTGTTGAACATGTTGGATTGTGTATTGTCCGAGTCAGGGTCCTTTTTATTTTACTGTAACTTTGGAAATTATGTTACCAATGCTTACTGTTTATTTGATATCAATTTGGTAATACAATTAATAAAAACAACAAGGTTTGGGTTCGTTCTTCAGGTCACTGTGACGTTAACGTGTAAGCTCAATAATGAACTCCAGCTCAACCAACCATATTGTAATATCTAAGTAATCATCTTGAAATATGACATTAATAATTGTAATATACACACATCTTATTGTGAGGCTGATTTCACATACACTACTTCGACGTTAGCTAAATAGAAAATAGCATGGATAATTTACAAAGGCTTTAAAAACACAGCAGGAGCCCAAGACAATTATAAAACTTGTCATTATTTCAGTACAGTTCAATTGGTTTTATTTTCATAAACGGTTATCAACCGTTAGTGCCAAAGCAGTAGGCTATAATATATTAATTACTGCTGTAGACTACAACCACTACTTGTTTAGCTAGCATAAACTCAACAAAGCTAGCGTTAGCTGGCTGACTGACGTTATTTTGCCGCTAAACGGCACGATATAAAACGGTGGTCTTCAAAACGGATTTAATCCTCAATCACAATAATAATATTCAAAGTAATACTGGGCAAGTAATGGGCAAAATGTATGCGCCATGTCAGCGGACTGGTAGCGACACGAACCGTTAGCCCAGCAGTCTCCATTCACCCGAGCCTCGTCCTTCTGATAGCTCCGCCCCTTCGCTCCAACTCCCCTCCCTCCCCCCACATCTACAGGTGAAAATTACTTTTGCGACACATTTATCGCAAGAAGTGTAGCAAAAGTCAAGACCGCAGATTCGTCGATTTATACTGCAACAGAGCAGATTCGTCAAGTTGTAATGACTGATTTGAGAGGTTGTAATAAATAAAGTTGCAGTTGTAATGGAAAATATATTTAAAAAATATGTATCTTTCAAGTGAACATTTCATAACTAAGTTCATTTTTTCTACAAGCTACAAAACTTTTTTTTTTCTTCTGTGACTTCAAATTTGGTTCACAGTTACGTGGATATTTTTTACAAGTGTAAATTTGGTTCACAGTTACGTGGATATTTTATACAAGTGCAAATGTATCAGGTTTTCACGCTCTCGCATTTTGCACCATATCTACCTTCATATTACTTCGGCATCACTTTGAAACGTGTATTACAATTAAATCACGGTCAAATATGTTCATTTTGTTGTAGTTATCTCCCATAGAATTTATATGGAGATACGCCCCGCCCGCTCTCCAGCGCCTCTTGTTTGAATGACAGGAGCAAACACAGCTGACAGCCGCGGAATATTGGGTGGTCTACCATAGTATTTACATGGAGATAAGCCCCTTAAAAACCATTAATTAATGAAGCATTAATTCTGTGTTTACTCCTGTCATTCAAACAAGACGCTGGAGAGGGGGCGGGCCGTATCTCCATGTAAATCCTATCGGAATCGGATCGATCAGGCTAACCTGTAGCTGCTCCGTCTACACTCACAACAACGTCATACAGACATAAATAAAGCAGCGACTGTATTCGCCATGACATAGACAGTCTGTGTTTTGTATATGTTTAACTTTTGTCCAGTTTCTGAACAGATATGAGGAGCTGTGAGCTCTGAGTGTGTGCTAACAGCTAACGGCTGATGTGTTGGGCCAATCACGCAGCGTCATTTCTTGACTGGCAGCAAAAACAACCAATCACAGCAGTGCTTCTATGGCTGGCTCTGTCCAATCACAAACAAGAAGTGTTCTCCCTAAGGAATACCCTTTCCGTCCAATGTGAAATGCTGTGGTGTTTCCTGAAATGCTGTAGCGTTTTCTGAAAGGCTGTGGTGTTTTCTGAAATGCTGTTGTGTTTTGTGAAATGCTGTGGCGTTTTGTGAAATGCTGTGGGGTTTTGTGAATTGCTGCGGCGTTTTGTGAAATGCTGTGGTGTTTTCTGAAATGCTGGTGTGTTTTGTGAAATGCTGTGGCGTTTTGTGAAATCCTGCGGGGTTTTGTGAAATGCTGCGGTGTTTTGTGAAATGCTGTTGAGTTTTGTGAAATGCTGCGGCGTTTTGTGAAATGTGGTGTCTTGCACTTCAGGGCCACCTAGATTTTCCAAAAAATATACAGAAATATACACTACAGTGACATCTGGCGTCGTTTTTGTAAGAAATGTTCACTTCCGCATAAAAAAGCCTCGGCACGTGACCTCCCGTGTGTGACGTAACAAAGGGTAAACAAGGGGGAGAGCGGCCGGTGTAACGTATTAATAAACATGGATCCCAATGCTAGTTTCGCCACAGAAGACACAGAAGAAGTTGAACATGAATATTCGAATGCATATTGTTGTGGAAATATTTTCCAAGGCTCATAACTTTGACCCAGTTTATCAGTTCAAACTGTCCTGACTGAGCACACGCAACTCGTAACCTTGGCTGCTGTGCTCTCAGTGTTCTGTCTCTATGTTCCTGCCTGTTGACGTCAGCTGATAGAGGTGCTATGATTTTATCTTGTTATGCAGCATGTTGATGATGCTCTCAGAACTAGCTAAATACATGGGTCTGAGGTAGAGTTCTTGAGAATTGACGTGGCAATCCACCCGTGCAGTCAGACCGTGACTGCTGTGACTTGTGATGTGAATCCTCCGGCCGTAACTCCAAATAAATCATCAGTGTTTGACATCGAAGCTCCTGCTCTACCGTGTCTCCTTCCTGAGTCGGTGACTCCCACTGCATTGCTACACAGAAGTTTCCCTTACACATATGACGGACCACAACCTTATAATTATGAGCCTGCTAGGCGTCCAAGAGACCAGGAGCAGCCAAGGATTAGAAGAAATAACGGCCATCGGAGAGAAATTGAGCTGTGGTGTGAGGAGAACCAGTGGAGAACAGGGCAGCTGTCTTGGTGAGTGACCGGCGTTAGCTACGGAATGTTAGCTAACGTCACATCACAACATTGTGAAGTTAGCTATCATATATCAGGCTATAACTAAAGTAGCATTGATAATATAGTAACGTTACTGGCAGGACTGTTGATACTGATCCATAACAGAAACTAATGCGCAAGTATCAGCCGTATCTCGCGTTACCTAATGCAAATCCACACTATACCCGCGGTCAGAGAGCGGAGATGTTTACCCTTTGTGATGTAATATGACGCGTTTGACGTATGACCTTAGAAAAAGCCGTTTTTAAGAGCAGAGCTCAAAATTGCTCCTTTCCCTCTGAATGTCTGCCCTTATGTCTCGTAAAACATATCAAATCCTACATTCACTTTTTTAATTGTACTTTTCAAGCAAGTTTAAGCATAAATGTAGAAAAAAAAAAAACCTGCAAGATGCTCTTTAAATGTTATTTCCTCTTGTGTTAATTTGCATTTGCGTTTAATGTTGACGTAATCTAAACGTAATCAGGTCACATTTCTTTTATATTGTAATACTTAGATAAGGGTAGTGATTTCCTTTTACAGGTAACTAATTATTACAGATTACATTTTTAAAGTAACTCTCCCACCTCTTCTTTCGTGGGGTTAGCCCCAACCCTAACCCTCGTGTAGTGACTCATAATGTATTTATACTGTCAAAGAAGATCTCAATTAATTTCTCTCAACCTAAGTCAGAAGAAGGCAGTGGTATAATCTTTCACGATTTTCAGGTAGCTTCTGAAGCCTATCTTACAACTGAGAACATGCGCGAAACATAGTTTAATTCATTTTACAGGTCCCATAAAAACAGATCTCCATTATATAAATTGTTTTGATTGTAGTGTCAGATCACTTCATGATATCTGATTTTGTTCATATTAATTCTGTACTACTATTTTTTGTGTTCAAATTAAGTTTCTGGCATTAATCACACTATATCATATTGTAATGAATTATCATGTAGATATTGTTTAGGAAATATCTTCCTAGGCCCATAACTTTGACCCAGTGTATCAGTTTGTTCTGCCCTCACTGAGCACAGGCCTGCACCTTGGGGTGCTGTGCTCTCAGTGTTTTGTCTCCCTGTTCCTGCCTGTTGGCGTCAGCTGATAGGTGTTATTGTGCTTTGCCTGTTTTATCTTGTTATGCACAATGTTGATTATTCTATCACGGCTATTTAAATACATGGGTCTGGGGAAGAGATCTTCAGAATTGGTTTGGCAACCGCTGTGACACCTCACACGTTTTGTCAATTCTGCGGCCGTAACTTCCAATCAATTCTTCAGTGTTTGCCATCATGTTCCAGCTCTCCCGTGTTCCATTGTGTTACCACTCCATTGCTCCAGAAGTTTTCCATTACAGATATGATTGTCATATCACGATATGATGATGATCATAATATATTAATACATTCAATGACATTTTTTATGTGTGTGCATTTAAAATCAAATAGAACAGAATTATGATTTAGTCCTACATCATTATCATATATCAATAATATACCTCTGTATCTGATTATTGACCAATCAGGGTGATGTAACGTTAGCTTTATCTTAGCATGGGCCCCTGGCTATATGTCTAAAGTTAGTTAGTAGCCAATAGAAAGAAGAAACAAACACAACGACAAAGAGTTCATTTGACTTTATACATCAAACCACAACAACTCCACAGAATATTCCCCTGCCCCTCCTGTATTAGGTTCTGTCATATGTCCTTTTAAACTGTGTATTATGTGTGTGTAGATTGAAATGTGTGGGACTAGCTGTGTGGATCCAGTAAAACCCTGCTGTTCCTGTGCTGTCAGGGTCATATTATGACATCTTCCCTCAAAAAGAATGTAGCAACATCTGCTGAAATCAATGTTGGAGTCAGCAAGTAGCTTCGTTCAGAGAGAATTGTATATATTCAGTTTGAGTGATAGAAACAGTGTTGTTGGAAATTGACTCTTGAGAAATAACTGGCATAGATCTTAGTGCACTATTGAATCCAGTACAGTAATATGAAATCAGAATACAAATCTTTAGTGATTAAAGATGACACATTTGAATATAAAAATATTTCTACACAGAATACAAGCTACAATTGGCCAGCAATTGCAGAGAATAAACATAACTTTAAAATAGTTAATTTTACTTATTAAATCAACTTAAGCAAGATTTTTCATCTCTCTGACAGATCACCAGCAGCTGTCAGTAGCACGCAGTATTCCTTTTGAAGGCACCTGGGATAACAGCAGTGTAAGCAAACGTTAGTCACCTGACCTTTACTTTAAGGATGGCACACATGTCCAACAATCTTAAGAACTCTCCAGCTCCGTGTCATTCTTTACATACAAAAACATCCTGCAAACTAGCTTCTATACACATTGTGATAACTTCCGCTCAGCGTACCACCTTCCCAACTTACACTAGTCCTCACATAAAATCTAACATTTTATATCTGCATCAATAAGGTAAATGGTAAATGGATTGCCTTTAAATAGCACTTATCCAGACTGTTTGACCCCTCAAAATGCATTTATATATGCAAGTCAGCACTCACCCATTCACAAACATTCATACAGAGGCATACAAGGTGCCACCTGCTCAGAGAAAGAAACACTCACACACCATTGGCCATGTAATCGAGAGCAATTTAAATTCAATGGGGACATATTTATATGTAGTGTCTCTACTAGGACATGTCTCCATGCTGTAATGTTCAAAAAGCTCTTTATTTTGCTCATCCTGCCTGTGCTGCAGCACCTCTTTTCACCCTCCGTCTGAAACCAGAGCCCAGTCTGCTCTGATTGGTTAGCTGGCTGGCTCTGTTGTGATTGGTCAACTGCTTAGAGATATTAGAGATTAGCCTATCACATCCAATGTGTTGGAGCGCTAGCCAATAGAAGCACGAGTGTTATGTAGTGATGTGGGGGGGGGGGGGGGTGGGGAGAGTGTGTGGGAGAGAAACTCCCTCTGGAGGGAACCCAGGGATTTTCCCGTAGTGTGTTATACCGGTTTGTGGCTAAAGGCTAAAAGTGCAAGCCTAAATAAGCATAATAGTTCCCCTTTAAGTTTCTTGCCCAAGATCACTTCCACACGTTGACTGCGACATACAGCTTGGTTTCCATTCAGACGTCCTCAAATCTAACTACAAAACAGTCCTCTATAAGCACCACCAGAATACTGTAGTTCAGATCATTATCCTGCTCTATTCAACTTGTATACAGTTTCCATTGTCCATGATGGCCGGGATAAAGAGGTTAAGGTTCGGTATCCTCCTGTAGACAAAGTGGAAGGTGTGTGCACAGGGCCGGCCGTGGAGCTCTGCTTTGATTCGCTGAGGGTGTGTGTCCGGGGCGAGCTGCTGGCGAGTGCCCTCAATGACCAGGAACAGTGCGTAGGCGTTAGGGTCCGGGATCTTGAACTTGTAGGCGCAGAGCGAGCAGACTTCCTCGGTGGTGGTGTACGGCTGGACCATCAGGGTTTTGGCCGTGCAGCCGGTGTCTACTTCCTGTAGGGCCACACGCAGATAGTTCTACAGAGAGAACAACAGGCATGTGTTAAAGGAAGACTCACGCACAATATGATCTGTGAGAAATTGAATTCTTATAAAAAACAAATGTTGGCTCTACTATTCAAAACAGACTAACCAAAATCATATTAAGAAATACATATTTAGAAATAAAACAATGGAGAAAGGTCTCGATGCTTAGAAGTTGATTGGGTGGTGCAGGAATGAGTCCTAAAAGCTGGAAATGAGTCATAATTTTACCCCTTCCGGTTTCTTTCTTCTGTTTGATTTTCACATCTTGTTCTATTTCATCAGTTAATATTCTACTGGAAGTATTTTTCTGAAGTTCTATGTGTCATAAAAACGGCGGACTACTAAACCTCATCACGCTGAACATTAGCCACCTTTAGCTTAGAATTGGTGATACATGTGATACATTGTGATTTCGTTTTTTTTTGGTCAAAAGCTAGTTTTTTCGTCTGGTGCATTAATATGTGGAGTTTACCCTGCTGAACAAAATGTGTAAGCATGAAAAAAGGCCTTATTTCTACAATATTCCAAAATCCCTTTGCTTTTTGTCAAGGGATCCCTTTCAATGCTACAACCAGTACGGCCAATACACATTTGGCATTGCTGCACCACTTTACAGAAAAGCAAAACTATATCACAAGATCTTTGACTAACTGTTATATCACTTGTACATTATAATCTCATATATATACTTATAATATATATATATATATATATGTATAATTTAACCTATCAACGAAACATAGGGTGAGTACTTATACATATACAGATGATTATTTGAGGGTTAAGTTTTCTTTTAGCAGACAAACATTTCCAGGAAAAACATAACAAGAAATGAGTGATGACTCAAGCGCTGGCAGAAGAACACCATGCAGTTATGGCCATAGAAAGAAAGCAGATGCAGTTGTTAATTGTTCCACTAGAGGGTGCTTTCTACCAAAAATAAATGAATGGATCCAGATCAACATGCAGTGAGGTTAGTAGAATCTGTAGATATGATCCGTTCCACTGTCCAGGGCCGGAACACAGCTCCTTTCATGCACCTTCCCAATGCCGAGAGTGAGCTTTGGACTGATTTGGAATTGGTACTACTTAGACTCACTGCCTGGATGTTCATGGAGGGTTCAGGTCAGGCGTGATACCTGAAAGTCGTCCACAGTGGGCGCTGAGCGGGGGGTGGTGCGCCGCCTGTGCCAGTGGTGCAGCGTGTTCCTGGCCTCGGAGCTCAGCACCCGGGCGGCCTGCTCCTCCTGGAAGTTCTTGATGAGGGCCATGGCTCCGTACGCACTGGTCAGGTAGTAGCCCCCTGGAGGAGGGAGGAGGGAGGAGGGAGGAGGGGGAGGTGTACCAGTTTACATTTGATGAGAAAATCTTTGGTTTATGTACTTTTTGATGTAAATGATAAATGATTGTTTCAAAATCTCATAATTTTGTTCTGACAGCTGTGAGATTTATTACTATTGGGGTGTAAACTTCCCGTGAACTTCAGTTTTACTACTTAGTTGACAATGTCCGAAACATATTTCCCCTTAAAGCACTCGCATAGAAGTAGCTTAGTTCAACTTAAAGAAAAACAGAGAACAAGTATTTTTCTCGCTCAGCCCTCCCAGGTGGAGCCTGACGTCACTCATTCACAAAAAAGGTGGCCATTATCAAATCATAGCTATGTAAATAGTATATTACAATAATACTTTAACTAAACATTTATCTGTTAGATATTCTCATCAAATATAAAAAAAACTATAAATGGCTCCAACAAACATATAAATAATATTATAATATTACCAATATGGACGACATTTAAAAATAATATATATATATATATATATATATATATTGTCTGCTCCTATTTTATTTCATTATCTTTATTTAATTTTCATTTGTATTAGTTTTCTTGTTTTGGGCTTTCTTACCATGTGTCACTGATGGTTGAGACCAATAAACGCCATTTATACAGGCAGTGGATAAAAGTCATAATACACGTGAATACAAATAAATACCATGTTTGTATACCTATGTCAAAATGATCCATGTCTACTATTACATGTATGTCTGCCCTCCTCAATCCAAAACCTAAATGAGGGGCGTTATGGGGATGTAGGAAAAGAAACAATGCAGATCTAGTTATTTAGAAATGAAACCAAACACTAGGTAGAATCTCGTAAAATGTATCAAGAAATGGACACTTCCTCCTTTTATATAAGAGATGAATCGGTGCAGGATCAGTCATCTTTCACATTTTTAACTGAGGCTCTAGGATACACATACATGTAAGCCATTCTACAATGAGCTTAAATATTTCACTCTGGGAGGGGTCAGTCTCTGTTATCCTCTGAACCGGCGCCAGCCTATTCAAATCAAACAGCGTGTGGAATTTCCTACCAATGTCAAAAGGACTTCGCTTGCTATGTTTGTCAAGCTCTCACACAAAACCTTCCCCAAATCAGCTGAGACCACTCTGGTGAAATACCTGCGTTGGAATGCTAAACAATAATAATTGAGGAACATTAAACTTGTCTCGAAATTGCTTCATCTTCCACAGGAAAACTCTTGTTTTTATTCCAGCAGAATGTGATATAATACATGTCTTAAAAGTGGTGCTGACCATGCTACTCCAGTAACAGGGGACATTCCGTAAAGCTTCAGGTCAAATGTTGTCTGGAGCTACTTATTCATTATTCAGAGTTGATCACTACAAGAACCTAATACTATGACAGCATTGTGAATAGTTCATATACGTGACCCTTGCCCTTGATCTATTTATGATCTATTTCCATCCATTCGTCTGGAGCTGTGATGACACAGCTAAGTATTTCCTCCTCGAAAGAACTTCCTCTGTTCGGGTTATACAACATTAACCTCACACCATACTGTAATTTGCATGACCTCATGTAGGAAATATTCAACAAACATCTCCTGAAAATCATACTACTCACTACCCGATGGTACTGTATGCTATTTATGAAAGGTGTATGTTCAGCTTACGGCCGCCGGACAGCTCAGTGGAGCTGGCGGCCAATATGCGGTCTCGGCTGCCTAGTAAGCTGGTTCCATTACCGAGCTGGCCGAACAGCTCCTTTCAGTCTCTATGCTAAGCTAAGCTAAGCTAAAGCTAAAGCTAAATGCACCCAGCTCCATACTTTGTGTATAGTTAGAAGAGGTGTAAAAGCCAAATTATGTGATATTGTTCTCATTATTTAAGATCTACGGTATATAACAAGCACTTGTGTGTTTGTAAAAACGTTAGGTTGTGGTTTTCAGGGCAGCTATAGCTACAAACAATACACTAAACTAGCAAATAGGACATGCTAAAAAGAGATAAAGCCTTTATCTCATAGCCTATTATAATGTTTACATTGCATTCAATGTACAGGTTAAACAAACAAGATTCTGCATGGTATTTGGTGAGCTTTAGAGATTGTGGTAGTCTTGTTTCTCAACTTTATCATCAGTAAGGCTAGCTGTTTCCCACTGCCTCTAGTCTCTATGCTCAGCTCCATACTTAATGCATAGTTAAAAGAGGTGTGAAGGCCTCTTAATTATGTGATTTCTGGCCTAAAATTAAGTGACATTGTTTTCATGGTACATTATGAGTTATATACCAAGCAGTTATATCGATGAGTGATGTGAAGTGGGCTTCTGCACCTACCCTCTCCTTGAAGCAGAGATGGGTCCAGCAGCTCCATCATGAACTGGATCTCTGTGTCAAGCTGAGGCATGTCACACTGAGCCACCACATACGTCAGCATGGGCAGGAAGTCATCGGCACCATACATCCTCCCTGGAAGGAAGCAGACGGAGAGCAGTGAGGGAGAAGGGGGGGTAGGGGTCAGTCATACAGGTCTGACAAAGATCATCGCTGTAAATCTTAGGCTTTCTGTCGAATGAAGAATACAAAATAAAAATCGATATATCTTCACCATACCTGAGTTATCCTGCATTATGGTGTAGATGAGTTTGCACACACGCAGCAGCAATGACACCTTTTTCTCAGGGGAGTACATCTTCCTCATGTTTAGGAACTTGTGACGGATTTTCTCAATAGCCAAGGGGTCAGGAGGCACAGCTCCATCCACCCCTAACTCCTGGGGCCTCTTGGCCTTAGCCAGGGCCAGGTTCTCCTTTAGCTGCTGCAAAGCTCCACTTTTCACCTGGAAATAACAAGTTGAGTGTTAAAAGTGTGGTTAATTTACCCAGCTAACCAAGCCAGATCGCTAATAAGGTTCCTATGTAATGTCTCAAAACTCCTCTTTTGGGGATATCTTTTTCTTTTGAATTCAAAAATGGTTTGAAGGTAAGGATGAGTCTATGTTCACCCACAAAGAGACAGTTCATCCTGGTGCCGAAAGCACCAAAAAAATAAAATGTGAAAACATTCAAACTCCATAGCAAAGTCCTTTAGAAGAAATCATGACCTAGTTACACACGATAATACTCAAACCGTATGTGACTATTTCATGCAGGATCAATTTTCTTATTGCTGAACTACACCTGCCAACAGTATCACTGCAGAGACAGACGCGTGCATCTACTCATGACTAATGAGGCGTGTGCTAACCTATTTGCGGATGTAGTTCGGTTTGTACATGAAACTGCTCCCAATCTGTAGATTATCTCGAGTAACCGGGTCATGATTTCTGGATCAAGGAATTTTTTTGTTTGAAGTGTATTTTTTGAAACTTTGACAGCCAGTTACATTATATTAGAGAGAAGGCAGACATCTATACAACTGATATCTCCAACACTCAGCAACTCACATCAAACAATCTAGATTTATACATAGCACAACAAGTAAAAGGAACAATATGTATTTTTTATTTTGACATGAATCGTCCCTTTAAAAAATAAGATTTTGAGATGTTATTGTGAAATTAAATGATTCCGTCTTTTACCTGGAAGTCATGTAAAGCCACCTCGATCACACTCTTCAGAGGCTTCAGGACACACTTGTGCATGGCCTTCTCTAGCACCTGGTCTGTAGAAGATACAAAGTCAATCATTGTTGAAGATAACAAGACACATCAACCACAAAAAGGTAAAATGGCTCTGCCAGATGCTAGAAGTGTTGTAAACTCTACTATTACTGTATATAAAGAAGGTCAAAGCACTCTGATTTAATCCAGAAACGTTACAAACAAATAAACATTCAACATGTTCTGCATAGCCAGCTAAGGCCACACCAAACATAACCAATAGGCGCTTTCACACCGCAGTACTTTTCCCACAAAGGTTCATGAGAATTTAGTTCATGAGAACTCTTTAGTTCTCATGAACTAAATTCAGATCGCGTTCACACCGGAATAAATTCCCTGAGGGTGGATTAGGCAAATGAAGCCGCTGACGTCACTTCTTCTTCTTCTGCTTTGGGTTTACTGGCAGGCCGCAAACGAAGTCCATGGCCGGAAGTCCACGGCCGGAAGTCCCCGGAGTTGGGGAAGGCTGGGAGTCCCAGCAGCTTCTACTGAAGCCTTCCGAGTAAATCGCCAGAACGCCGACACCTCCTCATCTCCACCGCTCCCATGTTTTATTTTGTGTTGCCATAAATTAGTCTCTTTGCGTTTGTGTGCTGGGCTAATGCTAATGCTAATAATGCTAATGCAAGGATAATAAAATGGCAGCTTCACAAAACTTTTAGGGAGTTTTACGGGGCGTGGTTTGCAATCCGCCCAGCCAATCAGACATAGGAACCTTTTTCTCCCACGAAAGTACCTGCTCTCTAGAGCCGCGTTCACACCGCAGTACTTTTCACACTTTAATTCCGATATAGTTCCGAAATGTTGCGTTCACACCAAAAAGAGCCGGAACTAAAATTAGTTCATCAGAACCTTTTTTACCCCCTTTTCCGTCCCTGCTAGAGAGCAGGGACTTTCGTGGGAGAAAAAGGTTCCTATGTCTGATTGGCTGGGCGGATTGCAAACCACGCCCCGTAAAACTCCCAAAAAGTTTTGTGAAGCCGCCATTTTATTATTTTTGCATTAGTATTAGCATTAGCCCAGCGCAGAAACGCAGAGAGACTAACTTATGGCAACACAAAAGAAAACATGGGAGTGGTAGAGATGAGGAGGTGTCGGCGTTCTGGCGATTTACTCGGAAGGCTTCAGTAGAAGCTGCTGAAAGTCCCAGCAGCTTCTACTGAAGCCTTCCCCAACTCCGGGGACTTTGGGTGGCAGTATACGCCATGAAGTGGTTTGCGGTCGGCCAGTAAACCCAAAGCAGAAGAAGAAGTGACGTCAGTGGCTTCATTTGCGTAACCCTCCCCCAGGGACTTATTCCGGTGTGAACGCGATCTGTACTTCAGGAGAACTAAAGAGTTCTCATGAACCTTTGTGGGAAAAGTACTGCGGTGTGAATGCACCTTAGCAGGGACGGAAAAGGGGGTAAAAAGGTTCTCATGAACTAATTTTAGTGAACGCAACATTTCGGAACTATATCGGAACTAAAGTGGGAAAAGTACTGCGGTGTGAAAGCGCCTATAAACAATTATATTAAGTTCATCGGACCTAATCCTGATCCCAAACAATACACTGTGGGGATTAACTGGGGTCAATTTCAAACTCTCCCAAATCCCAAACATGTATTTTATAATCCAATACATAAAACATTTTAAAAACAGATTTGTCAGGCCAATTATTCAATTTTTCTCAATCCTAGCCTCAGGCAGGTATTCCTGCTGAAGACATACATCCTTTGAAAGTCATACATACATATAGTTTAAATTGTTAAAAAACAGTTTTTTACTAAACATTGCTTAAACCAAGCAACCATTTATGCAGATGTTTAACGAAAGTCACTGATAATGTTCTGTATTTCTTCTGCATCTGTTTCTTTAAATGGTAATACAGACATTCACTTTTTGCACATATTATAAATAATGTGCTGACGGATGCTCCCTCATTAGGTTTAAATTACTAAATTAATTGTCATTAAAAAACTGAACGCAACTTTATACACTTTTGTTATGTATATGTAGTATCATGTGTATATAGATTTCCCTTTTTTTGGTAGATTTGGCATTCTTTAGATACTATATTGATATAAAACGTTTCTACTGTTGATATCATATATTACTGTTTATGTTTTCTTTAATTTGTATTTTATTATATTTATTTTATTTTTTAACTCATGTGTAATACTTTTTGTGATGAACTTTCTGCTGCTGTAACAAAACAATTTCCCAATTTGGGATAAATAAAGTATATCTAATGTAATCTAATTAGTAAGGAGAACTACATTTGTACGTTTTAAAACATAATGATAAAATGAAGCAAAACAAATCTAAATACTTCAGAATTCCTGGTTTTCAACAGCTCTCACAAAGGAAATAAATGACTAGTCTCAAAGTGTGGCACGTCAGGTTCCACCTCATACATTACATATTTGCTATTTACTGTGCAGCTGAGCAACCTGTTTAGTACAATCTCTTGTTTGAAGATTGTCTGACCTTGACAAATCCAACCCTATTTATAAGCAACATTCATTGAGCTAGCGTGCTGCAAAAAGCTACAATGGCTCCATCTGTACCTCGGATCTACATACATAGGCTTCAAATCATTCTCTGCCTACCTCAGCTATGTACAGCTTGTTTGCATTTACACAATTGCTTCCTTTAGTTCACTGGCAGCCTCCAGGCAGTGTTTATGCAATGAGTTCCACAGAGCCAAGCGCACGCTTTGTAACCGCGTAAACAAGCCAGCATGCACATACAAGAATTCTGTTCTTGTGGAGAAATGTCTGAATTTATGGTGAGTCAGAGAGGGGAATGTGCTGCACTACAGAACAAGCCTCCACACCGTGTCCGGGAGAGAAGTGAAGGGGGTCGCCTGAGGTGAGGGTTCAGCTCTTCATAGCACACCCCCAGACCAATACATCTGAAGTCAAGAACAAGGGGAGCCCTGGGCTGGGTTCATCACACAGACCATGTGTGTACACAGGGAGGAACTGAGGCTAGTGAGGACACACTGCTGGACACACTAGTAGGTAGGGGCGCACACACACACACACACACACACACACACACACACACACACACACACACACACACACACACACACACACACACAGATACCCTCCAGAAAGGCTCATATCCTTTGTATATTGAGCGATGTTTGCCATTGAGCTTTATCTAGCCTGTTCAAAGGCTTCCCTCGACTGGAATGACCTTTGGGAGAGTCTGTGATAAACATTCACAAATACCAGCAAGCACATACGCTAAAAACGTAAGAAACACCTCTAAAGTTATGTAGACAAAAGCATAACAAAAGCCCTACATTAGGGTGTGTGGAAAGCTGTAGACCCACCCTTTGTAAAAATAAACAATCATTTACCTGACCTGGCAACATGATAATTAAATAGATATATTATATGTCAATTTTACATAAATAATATAATATAATGTAAATAATAAATACAAAAAGTGATGCCATTATATTGTCTCTAAAATGACTTGAATTCAAGCTCAGCTAAAACTAATAAACTTTATTTTTGAAATCCTTTTACAATGTTTCTTTATTCACCTCTCTAAAGAGGACATTTGTGAGCATGAGGCTTTATGTGCATATCCGTGCTCTGTTAGCACAACTAGAATGGATCTCTTCTCTGTCTCTGAACAAGGCTTTGCTGTTATTGTTTACAATGAACAAGGGACGTGTGATGAGTGCAAAGACATACTTACATATTCATGCTGGAGTCTACAGTAATAGGATTTGAATGAAATGTCGCTCTGATGGAGTTGCTTTTGCCTGAATATTTTATTTTTACAGTCAATATGACCTCAATAGAGCATGTAAACAATTTGGCTACGACTTAATAGTGTATGGATGTGGCTTGTTAAAGTTGTTTGACACAATAGCCAATAAGGGAGCTGAGTTTCATTTATTTGCTCAATGTTGTCCAAACACAAACAGCCATACATTAAATGTGCCTCCATAGACAGAAACTACAAATCTTTCTTAACATGATCAAATATAGGTTTATATTGAGCCTGCCTTTCAAAAGAGCCTCAACAGCAATGTGAGCTGATGCCCACCAACATGAGCCAAGAATAACTCTTTGGGGCAGAGCACACTGGAATTTATGTAACTCAACACCAGTAATGGGGCAGTCTAATATGGAAAACTTCTACTAGTATGTTCGATTCCCAAGACGATGGCAAGCCTAAACACTCACTGAACACTGTCAACCAATGAGGTCATTTTCAAATCCTTTTCTGAAGCAACACCAAGGAGTTTGTACCACTTAAGTTGTACTAGACGGAAAACTTGAAGGGAAGTGAGTGCTGCCAGAAATGGGATATAAGTTTAAAAAAACACACGTACCCACGCATGCATGAGCAGTTGTTTCATAAATGCACAAATCCACTATGCAACCAGTTACTCCAATAAGTACTGTATATTGAACTCTACGGTTTAGAAGATAGTCAATCTTTTTGGTTGACTTACCGATCTGGTCCTCAGGTATGAGGGACTCTAGAGGGGGGTCCAGTTCGGAGCTCTGGCGCAGGTAAGCCTTCATTTGCGTCATAAATTGCCTGAGAGTCTGCAGAAAATCCGTCCCTGAGGTGTGACAGCCTCGGTTCTCCTGGACAAAGCTGATGTAGTCCTGGACCAGGGAGCCAAAATAAGAGCTTTTGTCCCGGGACATCTCTGCGATCCTCTTCACCGCCCGTCTTTCCGGGGTCATGAGGGAGCTCAGCATGCCGCTCACCTTGCGGAAACGTCCCTTCAGCGCCCTGGGCAGGATGAAGGACCCCCCGCCCAGACTCACACCAACCCTTCGCCTTCGCGCTTTGAAGGACGGACGGTGGCGCATTTCTAGGTCCGTCTCCAAACTGACCCCGTAGTCCTCGTCATCTTCGTCCACATCATCGTCGTCGTCGCTGCTATCCTCCACCGTGTCTTGGTGATTCAGGTGTCGGGACGGGCTAGGGGCCAGGCCCAGGGAGAATCCTGGAGAATGTGAGTATTCCAGTGAGTCAGAGGAGGAAGTGGACATGCTCATGTCACTGAGCCGCTGGCGTCCCCGCTCCTTAGGAGTGGACGGACTCCCGGCGTTACCCTCCAGCAGAGCATCAGCTGCTGTAGGCTGGCAGGGTGGAAGCTTGGCACGAGACAGAGCTTTGGCGATGGTCTCATCATCCAGGGCGATGTGGCAGCGGTGAGATTCCAGATCGGGCTTCTTAGGCCTTGGAGGGGGGGGGTTTGACGGCACAGGGATCGGTGGACTGGCAGTCTTGGAGGGGCTGCCCTGTTTGCCCCCCATCGATGGCCGAGCCGGCGCTTGGCGCTTTGTGGAAGTTGGTTGTTGCCTTGGAGACACAGTGACAGCCACTGGCATGCTCTTGGGTCTGGTGGTAGCTGCTGGAGGTCCAGGAGGTGGGGGGGCAGGGCGTCGGCGAGGCATGGAGCGGGGGGGGAGGAGGGCGGGGGGGAGGTGTCCGAGATTTGCCGTTCAGTTTGACCTTGTCCACGTGCTGCTCGATACCTGGGCTGCTGCTCAGCTTCAAGGACTTCCCCTCATTCTCTAGGTCTTCATCGGACCTGACGGCATGTGTCGGCGGATCGTCCTCACAGCGGGGGGGGCGGCGATGCGTCTGGAGGAACAGGGGGGTGACGAAGCACAGGGGGCCGCTGGAGTGTCTTCTCTCCAGACGAAAGGAGGGTGGAGAGGCGCAGGAGCGTAGGGTAGGGGGGGCACTGTCGCAGTGGGCCCCGGTGTGTCTCTGCTGAGACTCCTCCCCTTCCCTGTTCCTGTTGCTCCGCTGGGGGCTGAGGGTCCGGCTCAGAGGGCGGCAGGCACGGGGGAAGGTGCGGTGTTGACTGCACAGGGCAGAGTCCCAGAAGCCTGTAACACAAACACACACACATTCAGAGGCAAACATTAACTAACTTTAAGCTACACACATACCTCTCCTCAATTCAAGGTTCAGAGAAAGGGTATGTCCTTGAGTTTTCAAATAAAATGTAAGTCCAAGACAAGAAGAAAGAAGAACAAAGACAGCAATCTCAACTATCTCTCACCCAGCAGTTCAAAAGTTTCCTAAAAGTCTTTCTAAGTGTTCTCTTTGCCTGTCTTTAGCTGCGTCTATCGTCTCTCTGGTGTCCGGAGCGCTGTGAGTTCAGTATCCTGGCTGCGACTCACTGGGTGCCGGCACACACCCAGAGAGGGAGTCGCCCATTCTAAAGACAGAGTGGGAGGGCACAACCACGGCACGCAGTTCCAGTTCCTCCACTCCTTCCTGCTCTGTTTTCCTCTCTCTAAATTCTACATGCTGCTTTCCTGTTGCTCTGGGACACGTTTCTGATGTAACAGCACTATTGCTGTCAGAAATCCTTATTTCTGCCTTTCTTCTTTTTCTATATTCAGTGCAAGTGTCCCATTACATTGAAAGGCATTTACTCCCATGTTGATGTTCCATTGAATCATTCCATTGTTTTCAGCTGTTTAGCCAAGACTGTTGTCACGCTAACACACTGAGCTTTAAAAGCCACTGGAAAGACTCTTTTAAGTCCTGACATGTATTTACAACACAATCTGAAAGAAAACATGCTGCTTCAACACATGTCGCAGAATAAGCCCAGTGATGACTGCTCCTGCAGGTTCAAAATGGAGACGTTACTATTGCTCTCATTCCTCGGGCAATAAAGGAGCCGGGTCCGACAGTTTCATATGTCTTCTAACACCCCCTCGCCTGGAGACTGAAATGTGCCCGTGGTATTCCTGCTGCTCCGTGTGAGCACGGACCACCTGACTCTGGGGTCTGTCTGCAGAGAGACTGCAGCGGGAGGCCAACTGTAAATAGCACATGTAATACTGACTGACCTTAATAAAGTGTACTCTGACTTTACAAAGAGGAGTTTTGTTCTATCAAATATATGAAATGTATAATATTTGATTGAAAAAGGACAACAAATGATTAGATAAAAGCCAATATTCAAATGCATAAAGGCAGGGTAGCAAAATAATATGCTGTATCATAATAGTTTACTGAAAACAATTCAGCTTTCATTCACTAATGCTTTTTTGTTACTGTCAATAAAACATCTTGCAGATTTTTCCAAGTAAAAGCAGGAACAGGGGCAAATGTGCACTTTGACAAACTACAGGGATTTCATGTAAAACATCTCTGCAGGAAGTCTTTAGATGATTACATGGTAGCTTATTAGCTATCAAAGAGGACTGCTCATGTTCAGGTTCACATTGGTACTTTGTGACTCTACTGTGACAGCCAGAAACTCCCTCTGGAGGGAACTCTGGGATTTGAGTCATTGCAGACCATTTACATGCACAGAAACCTAAGGGAGCAGATCATAAAACTCCCTGCTAAAGCATGATATGAAATACACTATATTAACAGGGTATATGAATTGTGACATGAATATCTGCTATAAATAGGTTCATTATAATATTCCACTCCATGCCCTCTGAAAAGGCAAATCAGTTGCAATGCAAATGTTATATACAAAGGTCTTCGTACTAACGTGTGTTTGTGTTTCACATGTGCTCAGATTTACAACATATAATAAAAGCGCTTTTCTGTCTTTAAATAGAAGCTTTCCAGTGGAGAAGGGGAGTTTCCCTAAAAGAGGCTCTCAAGCTGTCTATCCCTCTCGACTTCCAACGTAAGAACACCAGCTACCATTCACAGAAATGCCAGTGTGCACAAATAACAAGCCATTTTCTTCAGTAGCTATACAACTGTTTACTGCTTTAACATTTTTCTACACTTCATACGCCTTGTGTGTTTTCATACTTGTCTGAATGTGGTGTGATGTGTGTTTGGAGAGGCCACTCCCTTCCCCCCCACACTAAGCACTAAACTATGCTGTAGGCTCCTGCTGTAGGAAGCTGACTCACATGCACAGTGGCTGAGCTGAGAATAACTTGACAGATGAAGTGTCTAAAGGAGGAATCTGATCTGAATGATCAGCAAAGAACAATAAATAAAACCAATGACTTGGTGTGTTATCTTTGTTTGCTTTCTTACTTGACATGACTGTGTGCATGTAATAAAAGGTGGAGCCCTATCAGGCAAGAGGCACCACTAGATTGAGCATAATGTAGTATATTAAAAACAGGTCATTCAATAATGGGGTTTTCCTGTTTGCTTTAGCCACAACATTGAGTCAAAGACATGCATATTGAATATCAAATAAATAGATTAATTTCGACAATTTGTGTGTGTTCAGACTGTTCATCTAAAAATGTTCTTATCATAAATGATGGTAAAAGAAAAAATGGACAACATTTTCATCATGATGGATTTCTTTTCTCAGACAGACTCTAAGACCCCATTTACACGGGAACGTATGCGTTTTCAAAAAAGTCTTCCATTCACACGCATTCGGCTCAATTAACGTATCCGTTCACACGAGACCGCTGGAAACGCAGGAAACGCTGTAGTACATATGCCAGGCCGGTAAGTGGCGCTGCTGCCGCCACAAAATACACCAAGAGCAGCGAAGAAGATCCCGGAGCATGGTTGCCATGGTTGCCCTTCTGTTTATTCTCCGCGGTGGACGGCGTGTGCTCCTGCTGTAAATCTCTCCGGTAGTCCACCAGCAGATGACAAACACCCACCTCTCCGCCTCTTCCAAGGGACGAGGGAACCGTGCGGCAGAGTTTCAGTTAAACATTGTTTTTCGCCGGTCAACATGTCCGTTAAAGTTTAAATCTTTCATACAAAATTTGAAAAGTGTCGGTCAGAGGTCTTCTTTGTTATTTATTGAGCTTTAAAACAAATTGATAACGAGTCGACTCTTTATAATAATATAAGAATAATAAACTGAGTTTTCCTCCCCCTCTTCTGACAGCCCAGCAGCTGATCTCTGAGCAGGAGAGGTGGGGAGAGGGAGGCGGGGCTATGGCTTCATCATTATCAGGAAATGATCGTATAGGGCGTACACACCGAGCCGTTTGTCCCCCAGAGCGCTCCGTTTGCAGATCTATCCACCTTGGGACCCGTTATCGTTTGCGGGGTCTGTTTCTATCGGTTTGTTACGGCCTTGTGTAAACGAAAGGGCTATACGCAAGAGAAACTATGCGGATACAACCCGTATCGTCCTCGTGTAAACGGGGTCTAAGTCCCTGCAGTATTCTACAGATGGGTTATTAATTAAACAAATGGTGAGAAATATATCTAAAAATATGTTGCATACTTCAATAAAATAGGTGATTCATTATAAAAACTTGCAACAACAGCAGTATAGTCATTTAAGATGCGTTACTGCAGAACTTCAAACAAGAAATGAATAACGAGTGTACCTGCTCCCAGCTGAGCCGCCTCCTCCAGCTCTTTCTGAGTCTTGGCCGATGCAATGGCCTCTGGGAGTTTGAGTGTGAAAGGCAGGACATCCCTAAGTGAAGATGAACAGGCAATAATGTTATAGAAAATAAACATTCAATCAAATCAAATCAACGTTTATTTATATAGTCTTATTCCACAGGCAATAAGACTGTTAAACACCTGAACTAAGAACATCCATAACATTCATCTGTTTGCAACTTACACATTGTGTATCACTTGTATATAGACTCTGGCACTACTTCTATTCTATTTTATTGTATTTACTTGCACTATTCTATCTGTTTTATTGTGTTGCACTGTTGGAGGAGCCTGGGACCTAAGATTTCCATCGACATAACTACACTGTAGCTATGTACGAATGACAATAAAAGCCTTGAATCCTTGAATCTAGTCTAATATCACAAAACACGTTTGTCTCAGTGGGCTTTACAGAAATAAAATAAATAAAAATAAAATGACAGTAAAATAATGAAAAGACAAGATAGAGTGTAAAATACCAATAGAAAGAAAATGAATTAAAATGCAAAAAAAGACAATAAAAATGCAATAAGACAATAAAATCAAATACCACCAAATGTAGGAAGCAGGAGGACGAACATAGGGAATAATCTGAAACCAGCTCTAACTAAAGCCTTTGTTCAAAAGGAAGGATACAATAACACAAAGGATCTAAACATTAGTAGTGAGAGTTATGAAATGTTGTTATTGTAACTGTGACATCACCCTGTTTAATGGTCAGTGTTAGTGGGCATTGTCCTCATTTGACAGCAATAAACCCAAACTAAAGTGATGATGCCACCACTGGCACACAGAGAAGTGAAAACACTACCTTTGTTTTTACTTTCACAGCCATAGAATAAAGCTTAGCCTTGAGCATGGAAGTCTAAATGTAGCTATAAAAAATGAAATTAGACTAACGTTGTATATTCACGAGAAATAAAAATCACACATTTACATGAAAGAAACTTGAATATTCTCTGAGAATAAAGTCATAAATTAACAAGTTAAAAAATCAAATTGACTCACAGATGGTGTGTATTATGCCTGCAGTTGATGACCAAATATATTGTAATTGAAGGGCTGATTTTGGAATAAGGAAATACTGGTGATTAAAGCACAGACTGCTGTGAATTGGGCCTATTCAGAAGAAAACAACATGAACCAGATATTAGCATTAGCAATCCCCTTGCTTTGTACTTCTTCTTTTTTTTACAAAAATGTTCGTGATATACCTTCATACTTGAATCATCCTCCTATCACAGACAAATAAACGGAGAGATAGAGAAAAGAACAATTCTCTGGTGTTTTACCTGCTTATACAGTAGAAAGCCACGAGGCGAAACAGATCCGCAAAGCTGATCCCAGATTCCTCAAGAGAAAAGGCTGTAAGAAACAAAATATGCACACTTATATTTAATAGAAAGACGTTGTTGATTATGTGGCATTTACTCTTTCACATTTAATATTCAGCCACTATTTCAAGAAAGTATGCTGGATGATCAACGAGAAATAAAAATGACTACAGAATTTAATTTCCCAAAGAAGCATTTTGTGCACAAGAAAAACTTAGCAAAGCAGTCGGTCAGACTAAACTGGAGAGCAACTGACCCACATCTGACGCAGGCCAAAGACACACCCCCCCCCCCTCCTCCCATGTGTGCTGTCATTTCAGCAGGAAACATCCACAGCTGGTGTGTGGTCACACTCTGTCACAGCTCCAGGACTAATCCCAAGTACTGCTGCAATGTGCTCAATGTTGGTCTAAATATTGTCAAAGCACAGGTACAAATATGACGACAATCTTTGTTTGTGTGCAATGAGATCACTAATGTTAGACACTATCATGTTTTTTACTCGTACTGTATGGAATTTATTATCCTTTTTTAAGTGCAAGTATAACCACACACACACACACACACACACACACACACACACACACACACACACACACACACACACACACACACACACACACACACACACACACACACACACACACACACACACACACACACACACACACACACACACACACACACACACACACACACACACACACACACACACACACACACACACACAATCAGTCCAAACTGGCTTCACTCTGGTCATGTGATTTTATTTCTTATTAACGTACAGGAAATGACATCATTAACTCTCAAACCTCGAGTACAGTATGACTGCAGAGGTGTCTGTGGTTGAGTGAGACATAATCAGCGGACCAAAGGAAATTGAAAGACCACAATTAAGGACCTGAGTCCAACAGATCAAACATGGACTAGGGTTGCGTTCGGATAGTTTAAAAATCAGCTCCTAAATTCTAACCCTATCTCCTATTCCTTGACCTCTGAGTGAAACGTCACGGGGTTAAGGGATAGTGGATAGGAGAATTCAAAAGGACTTAGGAGAAGAGACAGCGGTACTTTAGAGAATCCGACTGCACTTTCACTATCCGACGTGTTTATGATGCGCCAGCGGACGTCATGAATGTGCGTCTGCTGCTGTGGGGAAACTATGGAAACTACAGTTTCCTATACAGCGGACTACAACATGGATGTTTAATAAGATCGAGGGACTCCTGTAAACTCATCTAGAGACTCTGCACCGTGCTCTGATGCTGTTGCTTTGCTTTATGAACGTGGACAACAGAGAAACATATTCTTCATGACCAAAGTTGGAATTGAAATAAAAAAGGAAAGTGAAACGTATGCTCCTCACCCTCTCCCTCCGGTCTACATTAATACAAATGATCCCAATACGTATGATTGTATGAAAATATCTTAAAATCATAAATGTATTTATTATAAACGTTAGTCCTTAACATCTATCACTGTGTATATCACCATTCAAACATCTTTTAAAAGTTGAACAACCCCACACAGCTCAGTGAGATGTTGACTTTATTTGATCATTTCAGTAAAAACTAACGTTCATATTTCTCTCTTTGATTATAATACTGATGAACGTTCAGAAAAAAGCACTTTGGCAACTTACCACATACGTTTTAAAAAGCTTAATAAGCATCGTAACTTTCATGATATAATTTCTCCGTCATAATCGTTTGTGTCCGTGAACGGCCGACTGTTGTGTGACGTAAATGCTGCGGCTGCAATGCATTGTGGGGAAACATTTTCTCCTCTCCTTTTGGTTAGGGAGGCCCAGTGGTTCCTAAGCTAAAGGAGGTTATAAAGGAAGTTTGAAACCTCCTTTCCTATCATTCTAGAGAATTAGAACGGCACTTATCATGGCTGCCACTGAGGGACTTCCGGGTCATTTCACTCCGTTAGGAAGGTTCCTAAGCTAAATGGACTATTGGAACGCAGCCCAGCTCTCCTCAACCCTAAATTATAATATAATCCCTCTCCTGCAGAACATCTGGAGCAGATTCCTTTACACCAGCTTGGCCAATAGTACAATATACTTTCTTTATCTTTTCCTCCTTGTTTTTTTCATGTAAGGATTACTTATGTTTGTCTTAATTACTGTGAAAAATGATAATAAGAAAGGTAATACACTGGTCGCTTACTGTACTGGCTCTCTCTGACAGGGAGGTGGCTGATGGGAGTTCCGCTCTGATCCTCCTTCAGACGCACAGACAGAATCTTCCTCTGTAAAGCTGCCGACTTCCTCACCAGGAACACCTGAACCATGAAGGGTTGGGGTTAGGACATCATGAAATATAATACAATCTTAAAAGATGTGTCTGTCAGCATGGTGGCTCCTCACCCCCGGGGGCTGTGTGAGCAGAATGCGAGTGGCCTCCTCCTCACTGACGGCCAGCAGCAGCCACACCGGGTGGGTCTGAGTCAGTCGCTCCAACACGCTCATCCTCCTGCGCAGCGAGTCGTACCCAGAATCCCTTTCACCCCCGAGACCGGCACAGCTGGGGGACTGCAGGTAAACACCGCACACTTCAGCCTCCAGCCTGGCAGAGAGAGGAAGAAGAAGAAGAAGAAGAAGAAGAAGAAGAAGAAGAAGAAGAAGAAGAAGAAGAAGAAGAAGAAGAAGAAGAAGAAGAAGAAGAAGAAGAAGAAGAAGAAGAAGAAGAAGAAGAAGAAGAAGAAGAAGAAGAAGAAGAAGAAGAAGAAGAAGAAGAAAGAAAATGAAACACTTTTGCCATCTGCTGGTGAAAGTGAGTACCTATGTGTCAGAGGCTTTTATAAATACTGTCCAAAGACAATTCATTATTATTAATTATCCCTGTTTAAAAAAGATGTAGCAGTAATTTGATTATATATTTTTTTAATGTAACTGTAAGGAAACACAGTTACACTTTCCTGTATCTTGATTGCGTAATCCAATTACATGTAATCCGTTAATCCCAAAGCCTGGTTATTACCATACATTCTTAGAAAGAGAAAACATGTTTAGTGAGGTCACAGTGACCTTGACCTTTGATCATCATACATGTAATCAGTTCATGCGGATGTTTGTGTCATTTTCTCCAAGCATTCCTTAATGATCCCATTCCTGAGAATGTGACGGACGGATCAAAACTTCCGGCCGCTGTCAGTTCGATAAAAGATAAGTCAAACATTCTTACCCCTGTAAATCCATGGGCTCTTTGTCAAACGTTAGAGGGGTCTGCACCATCTCTCGCTTCAGCTCTCCGATCTCAGACGCAAACGTGTCAATCAGCTGGAGGGAGACAGAATGAGAGGCTTGACTGATGAGGAAACATAAGAAGGAGAAGAGGAGGGGGAACAGCTGTAAACGAAACCGACAGCAATGCTAAACGATAAACTAGGAAGCAAGGAACAGAGAGTGGGGGACGGAGGGCTGGTAACCGTTCTCCCTGTGTGTGGACCTCCTTTACTACAGGCAGGAAACATGGAAACAAAGCATTTTCAAAAATGACCCATATCAACTTCCACTGGGAAACGGGAAATTCAGTCTGGGAAGGAAGGCTTCAAAGATCGAACCTCCTGTATCATTCATGACGGGCTATTTTCAGGCTGACAGAGACAAGGAGAGTCTTACAAATACATGTTATAGAACTCATTATTCAACAGCGTGAACAGTTGAAAGGAAATCTACTGACAGTGTAGGATTGTGTCGTCATTTTTAGACCACAACTATTTAAGGATTATAATACTGCTGACACAGATATTACATTTGTTTTACATGATCCACACAAAGGATATCAGAACACTCCTGTGGTCGGATGTAGAAAATAAGGAGACGATGGACATGAAGTAGAGTTAGTCAGTTAGTTAGCTTTGGACACAATCAAAAGTATGCCGAATTAGCTATTAGACTTTTCAGTTGGTCTTGTGTCCTTAAATGTATATAAAACTATCACTTTGATACTGAATTTTTTTTAAAGCATGACTTGATTTTCAGGTTCATATCAGTATGTAGTGTCTCTACTTTAAAGGGTCCTCTCCTGCTGATGTTCAGGTGTATATCAGTATGTGGTGTCTCTACTTTAAAGAGTCCTCTCCTGCTGATGTTCAGGTGTATATCAGTATGTAGTGTCTCTACTTTAAAGAGTCCTCTCCTGCTGATGTTCAGGTGTATATCAGTATGTAGTGTCTCTACTTTAAAGAGTACTCTCCTGCTGATGTTCAGGTGTATATCAGTATGTAGTGTCTCTACTTTAAAGAGTCCTCTCCTGCTGATGTTCAGGTGTATATCAGTATGTAGTGTCTCTACTTTAAAGAGTACTCTCCTGCTGATGTTCAGGTGTATATCAGTATGTAGTGTCTCTACTTTAAAGAGTCCTCTCCTGCTGATGTTCAGGTGTATATCAGTATATAGTGTCTCTACTTTAAAGAGTCCTCTCCTGCTGATGTTCAGCTTCATATCAGTATGTAGTGTCTCTACTTTAAAGAGTCCTCTCCTGCTGATGTTCAGGTGTATATCAGTATGTAGTGTCTCTACTTTAAAGAGTCCTCTCCTGCTGATGTTCAGGTGTATATCAGTATGTAGTGTCTCTACTTTAAAGAGTACTCTCCTGCTGATGTTCAGGTGTATATCAGTATGTAGTGTCTCTACTTTAAAGAGTCCTCTCCTGCTGATGTTCAGGTGTATATCAGTATGTAGTGTCTCTACTTTAAAGAATCCTCTCCTGCTGATGTTCAGGTGTATATCAGTATGTAGTCTCTCTACTTTAAAGAGTCCTCTCCTGCTGATGTTCAGGTGTATATCAGTATGTAGTGTCTCTACTTTAAAGAGTCCTCTCCTGCTGATGTTCAGGTGTATATCAGTATGTAGTGTCTCTACTTTAAAGAGTCCTCTCCTGCTGATGTTCAGGTGTATATCAGTATGTAGTGTCTCTACTTTAAAGAGTCCTCTCCTGCTGATGTTCAGGTGTATATCAGTATGTAGTGTCTCTACTTTAAAGAGTCCTCTCCTGCTGATGTTCAGGTGTATATCAGTATGTAGTGTCTCTACTTTAAAGAATCCTCTCCTGCTGATGTTCAGGTGTATATCAGTATGTAGTGTCTCTACTTTAAAGAGTCCTCTCCTGCTGATGTTCAGGTGTATATCAGTATGTAGTGTCTCTACTTTAAAGAGTCCTCTCCTGCTGATGTTCAGCTGTATATCAGTATGTAGTGTCTCTACTTTAAAGAGTCCTCTCCTGCTGATGTTCAGGTGTATATCAGTATGTAGTGTCTCTACTTTAAAGAGTCCTCTCCTGCTGATGTTCAGGTGTATATCAGTATGTAGTGTCTCTACTTTAAAGAGACCTCTCCTGCTGATGTTCAGGTGTATATCAGTATGTAGTGTCTCTACTTTAAAGAGTCCTCTCCTGCTGATGTTCAGGTGTATATCAGTATGTAGTGTCTCTACTTTAAAGAGTCCTCTCCTGCTGATGTTCAGGTGTATATCAGTATGTAGTGTCTCTACTTTAAAGAGTACTCTCCTGCTGATGTTCAGGTGTATATCAGTATGTAGTGTCTCTACTTTAAAGAGTCCTCTCCTGCTGATGTTCAGGTGTATATCAGTATATAGTGTCTCTACTTTAAAGAGTCCTCTCCTGCTGATGTTCAGCTTCATATCAGTATGTAGTGTCTCTACTTTAAAGAGTCCTCTCCTGCTGATGTTCAGGTGTATATCAGTATGTAGTGTCTCTACTTTAAAGAGTCCTCTCCTGCTGATGTTCAGGTGTATATCAGTATGTAGTCTCTCTTACTTTAAAGAGTCCTCTCCTGCTGATGTTCAGGTGTATATCAGTATGTAGTCTCTCTACTTTAAAGAGTCCTCTCCTGCTGATGTTCAGGTGTATATCAGTATGTAGTGTCTCTACTTTAAAGAGTCCTCTCCTGCTGATGTTCAGGTGTATATCAGTATGTAGTGTCTCTACTTAAAGAGTCCTCTCCTGCTGATGTTCAGGTGTATATCAGTATGTAGTGTCTCTACTTTAAAGAAGTCCTCTCCTGCTGATGTTCAGGTGTATATCAGTATGTAGTGTCTCTACTTAAAGAAGTCCTCTCCTGCTGATGTTCAGGTGTTATCAGTATGTAGTGTCTCTACTTTAAAGAGTTCCTCTCCTGCTGATGTTCAGGTGTATATCGTATGTAGTGTCTCTACTTTAAAGAGTCCTCTCCTGCTGATGTTCAGCTGTATATCAGTATGTAGTGTCTCTACTTTAAAGAGTCCTCTCCTGCTGATGTTCAGGTGTATATCAGTATGTAGTGTCTCTACTTTAAAGAGTCCTCTCCTGCTGATGTTCAGGTGTATATCAGTATGTAGTGTCTCTACTTTAAAGAGTCCTCTCCTGCTGATGTTCAGCTGTATATCAGTATGTAGTGTCTCTACTTTAAAGAGTCCTCTCCTGCTGATGTTCAGGTGTATATCAGTATGTAGTGTCTCTACTTTAAAGAGTCCTCTCCTGCTGATGTTCAGGTGTATATCAGTATGTAGTGTCTCTACTTTAAAGAGTCCTCTCCTGCTGATGTTCAGGTGTATATCAGTATGTAGTGTCTCTACTTTAAAGAGTCCTCTCCTGCTGATGTGCAGGTGTATATCAGTATGTAGTGTCTCTACTCTGACATGTCTCCATGCTTTAATGTTCAAAAAGCTCTTTATTTCTCTCATACTGCAGCACCTCTTTTCACCCTCTGTCTGAAACCAGAGCCCAGTCTGCTCTGATTGGTTAGCTGGCCGGCTCTTTTGGGATTGGTCAATCTCTTAGAATTGTGTTGGAAAGGTCCTGCTCCTTAGTCACATACAATGTGTTAGAGCGCTATCAAATAGAAGCACAGTGTTACACAGTGAAGTCATTATGTTATGGAAGTCAACAAAGGAGTCCAATGGAGGCGTTTCAGGGCCTCTTTAATGGACACATTGAATATATTGGTATCCTCAAGAAGTGTGAGAGTCATGATGAATTGAAAATAATGTGTATCATGTCTGGGTTTTCACATGTGATTGAGTTATGACAGAAGTAGTGCAATTTCTGACACACATTGTAACAATCTAGTTCCACATGAGTCATGTCCATAAACTGTGTGTCACGCTGTGTGTCACGCTGTGTGTCATGCTGCTGAAACTGCTGATGGTGTTGAAATGGCTTGATATATGTCCCTTTCACCCCATGCAGCCTCTTTGCCTTCTCTGACTCAACGGCCTCCTTCCACTCATAACTTGAAATCCTCTGGTCTAAAGTAATGAAAGATGAAGAATGCATCATTACAGGATATAATCCTTAACCACAGCTCCCCCCACACAGTACTAATTCAAAATAAAGCTAAAACCTGCTCAGTCGTGTGCAACAGCATTCCACAATAGTTCTTCAAATCTTTAATCATCTTCTTCTTCTTGTTATTATTTCAACCAATATGTTGCCGTCGAATAACTTCAGCCTACTTTCAGCTGCAGGAACCATTCAAATATCAAAAATATTCAGCTTTTTCAACACATGATGGGAAACGTTCAACTTTTTCAAAATGTTATACTTTTTGAAATATTCAGCTTTTTTAACTCTTTTTTGAACATCTTTTTTTCCCTCTTTTACCTACACCTTGCACCAAATGCTACTCCTTCCACATACTTTCAGCTAGAGACTTCATTCCAACTTTATACGGTCACAAGACATTCAGCTATAGAACGTATTGTTCTTTTTTATATTTTCTACACTTTTTGAGATATTTAACTTAGTTTGGAGCTTGGTATAGAGGCCTTCTTCAGATTTTAAAGGCATGAAGTGACAAAAACTGACCAGAAATGTGAGGCAATCAAAGGGAAATGTTTTGATGTGGTCAACTCCACCCAACACAAAGCCTCAGAAAAAACTGCTTCAAATAAAGTTTCTGTGCCTGAAGTGATGCCTCCAATATACTTTTTAACCAGTAGGAGGCTTCCTTTCATAATCTGTCGTCCAGCAGTTGGTCTAAAAGCCAGCCCACAGGCACCACAGGCTCCTCTTAGCCCCCCCCCCCCTTACAGGGCTAAGTGGAGCCAGCTCTGCTAAAACCTCAAACTGCCCCAGCTTTATGTCATATTAAAACTTATTATAAAACACAAGCCGACAGGTCCACTGAGAGATGAACAGCTCAACGTAGACTGGGTATGCTCCATTTGTACCTGGTAGACAGGGATAGGGTCTAGACAGCTGACTAGCACTCAAAGCAGAGCATGTATATTGTCCAATGCTAGGAGAACCCTAAACCAGACCATCCATAGAGAGGCAC